TTTTTGGCAGACACAACATCTTTGTGTATATGTGGTGCTGAGGATCAAACCTGGGCCGCATGCATTCCAGGCAAGCGCGCTACCGCTTGAGCCATATCCCCAGCCCAATCTTTGAACTCTTTTAATTTGCAACCGTTCTTTTATCTTTCTTTTTCATGACATTGATATGTTTAAGAGGATAAGCAGTTACTTTCTGGAATGTCATTCAACATAGGTTTGCCAGATGTTTCCTCTCAATTACATTGCCTCCACTTAAAAAAAAAAAATACCATGTTTTTAAAACTCTTTTTCTGTTGCTGCAACTATATCTAGTTGGTTGATTATCCCGGCTCTGTGGAAGCCTTTAGTGAGAATTGCCTTTTGGAAAGAACTGGCAGAGCTAGAGGAAGGCTGCATCAAGCAGCCTTTTTAAATTTTTTTGGCATGAGAAGGAGGTCCTGGTGGGGGCTGTATGACAGAGGAAATTGGAACACCACCTTGACACATGTGTCATGGGTTGCTCTGCTCTAGCTGCTGGTGGTGGGCCTCAGATGTTTGCTTCCCCAACCATTTCTAAGGCACAAGGAGCTATTATGCTTATAGAAGACAAGGCAGGATACAAAGTTGATCTTTTAGATTGTTCCGTCCTTCATTCACTCATGCACTTAATGAACATTGATTAAGGGCCTACTCTGCTCGTTGGAGCTCATCTTCTAGCATATTGCACACCAGAAAGAAAGCTTTCAAACTGAAAGTTCCTCTCTGAGAGGCAAACGTCTGAAAATGAAGGTTAAGGTAAATGGTTTGACATTTTCAATTTATTAGTAAAACGACCTTATAGAAAATTATGTTTCTGCATCTTCTCCTAAATACAGTGATTTCCATTTCTCTCTGGCCTTTCTCATATTTACCAACATGGAACATAATTTTTGCATCATTATCTCCATAGTACATAAATAATTTTGCATTCCATGTTCTCCAGTGAAAATTATTTTGTATATAGTTTACCATTTTTCATAACCTGCATATTTATCACTCTTAATGATTGCAGTAAATTCTTTCAAGCCGATCTACTAAGACTTATGCATTTCTCTTTTGTTGTAAATTTGACTTGTTTCTAATTTTTTTAACTAGCATTGTGTGTGGGGGGGGGTCCCTTTCAGGAGGAAGAATATAGAAGGCCTTTTGTTAAAACAGTTTCGATAAATTGTTTCATTCTAACAAAGAAAGGTTGGATTGCTGTGAAGAAAACACAGACTGTCTTTTTAAGGGAAAAATTTTCCTTTAATTATATTTTGAGTTTCATTTTATAATGGAAAGATAATTAGTAGAGAAAGATCTGATGCATTTCATATTCCTGACAATACTTTCCAGATATTGTTGGTTTCCAGGGGATAGCAGAGTAATGGGCTATGAAGCTAAGATATAAGGCTGCCGAGTGGCAGGCAGCTCCCAACTTCCCCAGTCTTTCGATCATTCATTTTGCTTCACACAACTGGAGGATCTTGTGTTCCACCACACTTTTCTTCTGAGAGTCACTAGAGGAATACATCACCCTCTGGCAGGAGGCCATCAGCTCTCTCACAGCAGGAAACATGGGTTAATCACCCTGACCTCTGGACACACCTGAGGAATGAACTCTCTGCAGCTACTCTGTGAGGAGACTGAGGAAAGCAGGAATAGGCAGGAACTGAGATTGCACATGGAACTGAGATTGACAGTTCATCTTCCCTGGGAATCCTCTGAGCTTGGGGTGTGGAGAGGTATTTGCCAGAGATGAGCTGGAGGCTTGTCATCAGCTGGTGATTGCAGTAACCATTTCTAAAGAGAGAACAATTATAAGAATTTGTGACTGATTAACTGGGCTTGGGTAGGGCTGAAAAACAGACAATCAGTGGTTTGGCAGGCTCTGAAGGAATCTTCAAAGATCCTGGAGTTGTGGACTCCTCTGTATTGGTTGTATGCCCATTATGTATCAGATGAAGATTTTCTTCACTTATAGAATGTTACCTCCCTTTTGTTGAATGGAGATTGGAACTTGTGGGTTTTGTTTTTGTTTTAGTTTTGTGAGGGCGTGGTTACCAGGGATGGGACTCACAAGCACTTGACCACTGAGCCACATCCCCAGCCTTATTTTGTATTTGATTTAGAGACAGGGTCTCACTGAGTTGCTTAGTACCTCACTTTTGCAAGGCTGGCTTTGAACTCGCAATCGTCCTAACTCAGCCTCCTGAGCTGCTGGGATAACAGGTGTGCACCACCTTGCCTGATGGACCTTATGGTTTTATAATTTTACTGCTCTATTTTCTTGCTGCTTAGTGTGGAATGTGGAACCTAAACAGTTGTCTTTTTTTGTGTGTGTGCATGGTACAGGGATCAAACTAGGGACAGTTTACCATTGAGCTATATTCTCTGCCCTTTTTATTTTTTGGTTTTTATTTTGAGACAAGGTCTTTCTGCTGGTCCTGAACTTGCAATGCTCCTACTTCAGCCTCCTGAATTTCTAGAATTGCATGCAGGTGCCACTATGCCCAGCCAATAAAGAATTTCGATTGGATAATGACTTCAGTTACTGGATTTTGTAGACTAAGCATGTGATCATCTGTTGCAGCTGCAGCCCACTGGGTTAAGGGCTTCTCTCAGGTTACTATAAAAATGAGTGGCAGCTAACTAAACCAAAGTCCAGCAACAGTAGGATACAATGGGAAGTCCATGGGCTTTGTAGCCAGAGAGATGAGGATTATTTTCCTGATTTTACTATTACCTACTGTCTTCACTTGGTTGATCTGTTTGCATTCTGGGAACCTAAGCGTTTTTACCTTATCATTTGAATAAAATTGCTTTTCTTGGTTTGTGTCAACTTCATTGCTCACAGTAGAGAAAAATGTTGCCTTCTTCTTTCCTCTGCCAAAAGGGAGATGATCAAAAGGCAGGAGGTAGGGTGGATAAGATAATATGTCCAGATCCCTGCATTCACATTCCTTGTCATTTCAAGCATACCATATCGTGTCTCCATCTGTCCATGCCAGCAGCTAATGCAGCAGGACTTCAAACAGCATGTGCACCTTTTGGTTTTGCTTTCAGCCTCTCTGTTGTAACTGTGTTCTTTGCCTCTGCAGGATTTATGAACGTGTGATAGACACTCCAGAGACCAACCTTCCCCCAGGAAGCAATTTATGGCTTGGTCAGCGAAACCAAAAGCATGGCTTATTCAAAGTAAGCACTAACTTTCTATTTTATTTTCACACACACACACACACACACACACACACACACCCCACATATGATGCTTAATTCTCAATGTTGCTGGAGATGCGTATTGATTAAATTAGTGGGAAGAACATGGCATAATTATTGATGATAATTGAACACTTACTGTATGCCACATACATGCTTTTCTATTGTGTGACATGAATTAACTCATCTCATTGTCACAATGACTTTATAAAGTAGATAGCTTGCAACCAGGCAGAGAGTTAAGTGACATGTCCAAGAGTCACACAGCTCACTGCACTAGGCATGTTCAGGCATGTAGCTGATCCTTAGAATGTGTCTTAACCGCCTGATTTGGGGGACTTAAGGTAATATGATAATCTTTGAATTGGTTGTAGAACCAATAAGTACATATTAATTCAGTTAGGGATAGAGATCTCTTTCTATCTATATATTTAAAATAGGACCCAATCTCAGCTTCTTTGAGCTTTGTTTTTCTTGCTTGTAAAGAGGGTTTTACAATAACTGCATTATTGTACTTCAAGAAGACACAAGGATATGGCAATAAAATGAATTGAAAACACTGTGAAATTGTAAGATAGTCTTGTTCTTTAAAAGAATGACAGACTTTTGCCTCTGGCAATATGGTAGACCAGATATTCTAAAAATCCTGTTGATTCAAAATTCTTGTAAGTCTGGATAAAATACAACAGAAATCTTTTATAACTCATCATTGCACTTATAAGAAGGAAAATCTTTTAGGGACCAAATATATTGAAGAGAAAGAAAACCAGAAGGGTGTCCACCAATACTAGAAACTTAGAGGATGAGATGTTTCCTTTTCCTTTTTTAAAAAATTTAAGCTATAATTTACATACAGTAAAATTTGCCCCTTTAAATGCCTAGTCTTCTGAGCCTTGGAAAACCTGTAGTCTCATAATAACTATTAGAGTCAAGATGAAGAAGCATTCCATCACCTCCCCAAATTTCCACATGCCCTTTGTATTCAAATTTAAGCCTGTAGCAACCAGTGATTTGTTTTATGGTCCTGAAGTTTGCCTTTTCCAGAATGTTACATAAATGAAATCATTTATATATGTAATTTTGTAAGTACGTATGTTGGGTCTCGTGTGTATAGGTGGTTTGTTCTTTTCTATTGCTGAGCAGTGTTTCAATTCTATTGTAAACACAGTTGATCCATTCCTCAGTTGGTGGATTTGGGCTGTTTTTAATTTGGAGCAATTAAAATAACACTATTGTAACCATTTACATACAAGTTTTTGTGTGAGCAAAAGTTTTAAGGTAAATATGTAGGTCTGGGATTGCTGAGTCATATATTAAGTACATGTTTAACTTCATAAGAAAGTGACAAGCTATTTTTACAAAGTACCTAAATCATTTTGCATTTCCATTAGCAATGTAGGAAAATTTCAGAGCCTTAAATTTCAACAACCTGTGTGGACCTTTCTCGAGAAAGGTCTAAGAGTCCATGTATGTTTGGGATGTGTATGGAAACTTCTGGTCTAAAGCTAGAAACCTGAAAACTATACCTCCATTGACAGGGTAGGCAGAGAAAGCCTACTATATAGCAAAGAGAAGTCATTCAATAACTAGCCTGACTCCATCTCATCTCCAGATAAGAAAGAATAACACTTCTTTGAAAACTGAACCTTGGGGGAGAGAAAGGGAGAGAGAAGGGAAAGCATATGGAAATGGTAGGAGACCCTCAATGTTACACAAAATTACATATAAGAGGTTGTGAGGGGAAACTGGGGGGGGAACAAGGGAGAGAATTGAACAACAGTAGATGAGGTAGAAAGGGAAGATGGGAGGGGAGAGGAGGGGGGATAGTAGGGGATAGGAAAGGTAGCAGAATACAACAGTTACTAATATGCCATTATGTAAAATGTGAGTGTGTAACCGATGTGATTCTGCAATTTGTATTTGGGGTAAAAATGGGAGTTCATAACCCACTTGAGTCAAATGTATGAAAGATGATATATCATGAGCTTTGTAATGTTTTGAACAACCAATAAAAAATAAAATAAAATCATTTCATTTAGTTCTTACAAAAAAAGAATTTCTAAATTATAAAAGTTACACACATTCATGCCCATGACACAGACATTATTGTATTTGTCTATGATATACCAGAAGGCAAACGCAAATCAGATAAGATCTGTGCATATGACATTCAGGTAGAAAAGATAGAGAAAAAGAAATAGCAACCTGAATAATGAAGATTTAAAGAAATGACAGCATTAGATGTGCAGTAATAAACTAGAAAGTGAAAAAGGACTCAAAAGAAGAAGAGTGAGAAAATAAGAGCAGAGGAAATGGAATTACACACAAGAACATTTTCAGAATTTATTTTAATATATTGATACATTTAATTAAAGTAGCTAGATATCAGATAAGACCATAGGTATATTTTTGGTGTGCAAATAAAATCTAAACTTAAGATCTGTTTTAGAGAAAGCATCAGAATGTAGTGAATGTGTGCTTTATCCCTGATTTAGGCCATACAATCTTGCATATGGTATGTATGAAGTCATAGTTACAAAGATAATTTACCCTTTAATTGTTTAATTTTACTTAAATGTTTTCAAAAGGAAAAAAACTTTCAAAGGAGTGGTTATTTTAAAAATTGTTTATTTCAATTTATCATTTATCTTTTTGTTTTTTGCTGTACCAATGGTTTTTAAAAAATATTAAATTGACAGATTAAGTGTGACTCTATTCAAGGTGTATAGTGTAATGATTGGGTATATTATACACTGTATGATGGTTACTGTAATACAATTAATTAACATAATCATTACCACCCATGTTTGTTCATCTTTTAAATGAATGTTTCTACCTTAGACCAATATCCCATCATATCCCCCTTCCTCACAGGTCCTGATAGCCACCATTGAACCCTGTGCTTCTATGAGTTTGACTTTTTTAGATATCAAAAGGAAAGTTCTTACCAAGTGGTATACATCATCTAAACAAGTAAATTCATTAAAACTAAAAAAAAAAAAGAAAAAAAAAAGAAAACTTAACCTTGGCTCTATCTTCACGTAGGCTTGACCCCTAGATTAACCTGATCTATGAAGCTCAATCAGCTGTCTTAAAGTGGTCCTGGATTGTTGGTACCTGGAGATTCCTGATTAGAAAAGGCTTTGGAAAAGGTCACTTTCAATGCGATCTCATAAGGTGCCCACAGATTAGGTCCATAAAGATGAGTTTGTAAGCCGTTATGAGTGACAGTGATTGTTCAATTAGCCCTTCAAGGGCTGCAGAAATTGGGATTAGTAGGCAAATAATTTTTTAAATGCATATGTTTAAAATGTTTAAAGAAACAAAACAGTAAATTAAAGAGCATATGATGACTAGAGATGATAAATATGACCAAGAATAGTTGAACTGAAAAGCACTTTTAGAAAAGAACACTATAGTCATCAAAGCAAAACAAACAAACACAAACCAAAACCAAAACCAACCAAACAAACAAAAACCAAAAAACAAACAAACAACAACAACAACAATACCTCAGTGAAACTGCTAAATTACAGATTAGACTTAAATAGGGAGGGCATTCATGAAATGGAAAGTATTATAAAGGTTATTACCCCAATAGTGGTGCAGTATAAAAGACAAGAGAATAGGAAAGAGGTTAAATGTAGAAAAATTGTTTATAAAAATTTTACACATCTGTTTAATGTATGCATGTGTATATGTATATATGTGTGTATTATATATTACATGTATAATAATCAATATATATGCATATTATATATATATATTAAAATTCCAGATGATGAAAAAGAAAAAGAGGTTATATTATGAGCATAATTGTTAATAAATCAATTCTCATTATAGGAAATAAAATGAAATCAAGACGTATGTTATCTGTTGCTGCTTATCAAGTGGCTTAGAAAACAGATGCTTAAAGAACAGCCACTTTGCTTAGCTTCCAATTCTGTGCTTTGGTCAGAAGATTTTTCTGGTCTGGCTTGTCTAAGCAGATACTTGCTGGATGCTCTCAAGCGTCTGTGGTCAGCTGGTACATCAGTGGGTGGCAGGATGATCTAAGACGGACTCTTCGCATGTCTGGCAGCAGGCTGGCTGTTGTCTGGTGCTCCTCAGTTCTCCCTACATTGGCCTCTCATTCTCCAGTGGCCTAACTCAGGATTACTCACACGGCAGCCTTGAGATTAAAAGAAGAAGAAGAAAGCAAGCCCTAGTGTGCTGGTACTTTTCAAGGCTGTTTATTTGATTGCGTATACTAACATTTTATTGTTCAAATAAAGTCATATATTTCAAATACAGAGTCAAAGGGTAAAGAAATAGACAATCTGTCTTGAAGTGGTGGTAGGCAATATCATACTACTAAATTTGGATGCAAGGAGTAGAAGAATTTTGGGGGGTGCGGTACTGGGGATTGAACTCAGGCGCACTCCACCACTGGGTCACATCCGCAGATCTATTTTGTATTTTGTTTAGAAACAGGGTCTCTCTTGAGTTGCTTAGTGCCTCACTTTTGCTGAGGCTGGCTTTGAACTCATGATCCTCCTGCCTCAGCCTCACCAGCCGCTGGGATTATAGGCGTGTGCCACCACACCTGGCAGAATTTTTGACTATTTTAATGACTGATTACACAAATCAAGATACGTACACCTAGAAATAGTGGTAAAATTCCAATATCCCAAAGTCACAGAGAAGATCTTATAGAAGTAGCCATTGAGAAAAAGCAATTTTTCTACAAAAGAATAACATAGATTGAACAGCTGACTTTTAAATAGCAGAAGCCTGAGGACAATGGAAAAATATTTTCAATTTTTTGAAAGAAAAATAACTCTCAAATGTAAGGGCATATACACAGCTTGATTATTATTTGAGAATGACTGTGAAATAAGGACATTTGTAGACAGACAAAATTCTCAGTTTAGAACCAATAGATCTTCATTTGAAAAACTTCCTAGAAGGAAAACATAAGGTACAAGAAAAATCGAACA